GAATAATTATCTAATAAAAACAAAAAATAATAAAATGACACAAAACCATATACTAATCATGTTATGTTAATAAATTTGCTTCTTGAACTAAAATTGTGATTAAAGCAGATCTACACTTGAAGTAACCTGGAAAAGACAGAGACTCAAGTCTGCTGAATTAAAATAAAAATTTATTTAATATATGACTTGAACATACAAGAAATAAGGCAAACTTATTTTTCTTGTTCTCCTCGACTCCAAACATTTTTTCTCTTGGTGATGACTCAGACTAAAAGTCTGTAAAATGCCAGGACTCAACACTTATTGAACTTTAAATATTTTATTGAATTTTCCTTTTTGAATGTTTTGTTGTTCAGGGGCAAATTTCTGCAAGTTTGAATGGCTGGTTTTTCTTCATGAGGCCATCCAGATGAGGAAAGGCAGTATAACAGCCAGTAGCACAGAGCACAGACTCACAGCCTGCAGGTAAAGCACCAAACACAGTGCCAGCACTGCCGCTGACTTGGCAACACGCTGACTCAGTAGCAGCTTCCTCATCGTCTTACAGAACTAATGAGGAGAAGAAGAAGAAGAAAGGCAATAATGTAAAACCATCTATTATAGTGATGGTAATTTAAAACCCTTAATCTGCTCGTCTTATAGTGTGAGGAAAGAAATACACTGACATGTATAGGGGGCAAATATTCAGTTTTGTGTTGAAATGAATTGAAAAGAAAAGTTTTTATTTTATTAAAGTGGTACCTGAAATTTTCCCAGTGTCACAGTCACAAGCCTAACTTTAGACACACCTGTTTAACTGCACTTTGACAAAAATATCTAATCTAATAGGCCAATCATATGGCAGCAGTTGAGTGCATTTAGGGCCATGATCAACCTGCTGAGCATCCGAATGGGGAAGAAAGATGATTTAAGTTGATTTGTTGGGTGTTTCAGAAACGGGTGATCTGCTGGGATTTTCTCAAACAACCATTTCTGAGGTTTGCAGAGACTTTTTTTTTTCCACTCCGTGTGAAAATGCCTGGTTGATGTCAGAGGTCAGAGGTCAGAGAGTGTCTGGTTTGACTGATAGCAAAGCAACAGTAACTCAAATAACCACTCGATGCAACCAAGATATGTAAAAGACCAACAGCAGCAGATAACTGCACCAGGGGTGTCACTCCTGTCAGCTAAGAACAGAAAACTAAACATACAGTTTGCACAGGATCACCAAAAACAGAACATTGGACAACAGAAGATTTGAAAAATGCTTCTTGGTCTGATGAGTCTCCATTTCTGCTGCAGCATTCAGATAGTAGAGTCAGAATTTGCTGTAAACAGCATGAATCCATCCTGTCTTGTAACAACAGTTCAGGCTGCTGCCGATGAGTTCGCTGAATTGAAATGGCATCAAAAGTCACCGGATCTATTTGGGACCTTTGGGAAGTAGTAGAACTGCTCATCATGGATGCTCAGCTGACAAATGTGCAGCAACTGTGTGACGACATCATGTCAATATGGACCCGAACCTCAGAGGAATGTTTCCAGCACCTTATTTAATCTGGACCACTAAGAATTAAGATGGCTCAGAAGGCAAAAAGGAGGCCCAACCCAGTACTAGCAAGGTATACCTAATAAATTGCCCAGTGAGTGTGTGTTCTTTTGGACTGCAGTGCAGAGTTTAAAATCAGCACCGTGTTTCCACTAGATGGAGTAGTTGCACAGTAATCTGGTTTTCATGGCTTTACATTTGTAGACAGTCACTTCTGAAACAAGTGAAAACCATCCACAACACATGCTTTTGTGCTTGTTTATCAGCTGACCGATAAATTGTCTAATCTTAAAGGTACTGCCATGCTACCACGCAGCTGTCTTTAATGACAACTTTCGCTTTTTTACAAGTCTTCTATCCAAATGACGTTCTTTAAGCCGCTTTGCTCTTTTTAAATCTCACTTTAATTGCCACACTCGTCTTCCTCCAGGTCATGCACTGCCTTCTTTCACGATTATGGTACATGCTTTTAATCGCATGCTGCAATCAGACGGCCTCGGAACAATGCAGCAACAACAAAAGAGCTTTCACTCAGGGCCTGTTGCTGCAACAGGGAGGCTTAACCCTATTAAAGAGGCAGGCTGGTCTGATCTGTGGTCAGTGTTAATCTGCAGCAGGAAACAACTGCTTCGCAGCTGAAGTGTAGGAAAGAAGCATGATCTGATGTGTGTTCACTGTTGGAGGAGCTGTTTGCTGATCTTTCAGAGATTCTGAGCCTTAAGGTCAAAGTTTGGGTGAGAAGTTTTTACATGAGGATAGATTGTCCGATGGTTGTTTAAATGCATTCACTGATATGCTGTCGAGTGGCGCCCCCTAGTGAAGAATGTCACACACTGGTATTGCAGACTGAAACCGATTGAAAGCAGCAGGTTAGCAATCTGTCTGCTTTTATAAAGTGCAATTATTTGCCAACCAGGAGGATGCAGGTAATCAAAATTGTGGATTACAGGTCTCCTGTGCAATTGCCTTGCCATTAAAAAAAGACCCCCAAGAGATTAAAGATGTTGGTGAACAGCTGGTTGACCAGATTGGTTGCTAAATATGAAGAAATTCAATGAAATTGCTAATTTCCCCTGATCGCAAGGAGGTTCCTGTCCTGTTCTTGCTTTACTGTGACAGTCAGTTACCTTCATAGTTTAAACATCACAAGCGCTTCAACTGCTATTTCAGCAGCTTAACTTCTTAATTCCATTTTTCATTTCCAAAGTCAGGAGCAGGATTTGAATCCATGCCGCCCACTGAGGAGTTGGACCTTGAATGTTGAATTTTGTGGCATTTACCCACCCAGAGACGAACAAGTGGTGCCATTACAGCTGCTTTCAGTGCTTCCACATAAACTGAGGAGAACTACAATAATAAGTTGAGCTTTCTATCAGCTATAAAAGACAAACTGACAACAGTCGTGCAGTTGTGTGATTGATTTTCCAAACGTGACTTTAAGAGGCATCTATTAATAAGAAAAAAACACATTATCATCTCTAAGATCACCTGAAATGTCTGGAAGCTCATGACAGTGCCGTATCTGCAGTACATGACAAAGTGTTCACAGTTGTACCACAGCAGGCTGTAGGGCACTTCTCCCTCCAGCTTCTCTGCCCTTCTGGCCACATCCTCCCCTTTCAGCACTGCGTGGCTTAATACCTGCACACAGAAGAGAGCAGCCCGCATGTTGAAGTATGTTTGGGCAAGATCCCAAACCCCAGGATTCCTCTGTGTGGGTGTGTGTTTGAATGTTTGATAAAATGCTCAAGCACAGGAAAAAAGTGTTTGTATGACTGTGTGAATAGGACTTGTAGTAGAAAAGCACTTTGAGGTCTCAGTAGTAGCAGAACAGTGATTAAGTGCCCGATTACAGTAGGAAAGTGCTTTATATTCACAATTGTAGTAAAAAGGCACTTAATATTGGTAAAAAGCGCTATATAAATACACGAGTATTTACCATAACCCTACGTTGCCTGCAGCTGTTGCCACATCTATAATCCCTTCAGATTAACATTTATTTAGAAGGTTAGTTCCCAGTTTGTTGGCCAGAAACATTTGAAAAACAACATCGTGTTCTCTCTTTTTCTCAGTTTAAAGCTATAAAAGGTGTTGCTTCACAGGCAAGTGTTTCTCTTTTTACTCACTAATTTGGATTAACCAACAGTGGGTTCATGTATATTAAGCCCACAGTCTAGCATAAAAATAGTATAAAGAATCCTTAAATGTAACTTTATGACATCTCATACCAATAAAGTGCCTTTGGGTGTATTACTATTTAGACTAAGGATTTATCAATAATAGAATAATGTGTTAAGTACTTTAATTATAAGATGTTAAAGAAGTTAAAATGTTTGTTTTGTCCTGATGTCACCTTATCCATAGGGTTGACCCGTATGTCTGCTCCATAGGCAAAGTCCTCTACTGAGTCCACCCTCACACTGCCACACTGAAGACACAAGACACGGGTTAGATCTCATTTACGACTGATTCTTTACCTGCTGTCATGTGATATGAGAGAATAAGCTGTTGCACATTAAACCGGATGCTCAGCTGCTGCACCACTTGGTGTACCTTAGCCAGTACTCCAAGTAGGAGTCTGGTGTTGGAGACCATCTGACTGATCCGATACTGGTCACTGGAGATGACGGGCATGATGTCTGGGATGAAATGAGCTACTCTGTGGAAAGGAAAGGAGTCATGAAAAATAAATGGAAAGTGTGAGTCATTGGTGAGAAAGGAAGGAAAAACATTTTCACTTTTTTGAAACAGAATTTAAACCTTTGAACTGTTTCACTGATATTCTAGCTGTCTGTCACCCTTACCTGTCTCCACCCAGGTAAATCCCAAAGTGTATGAAGAGAGTCCTGGGAACCTCCAGCAGGTCTCCTCTGGTGAATATTGTGTCATATTTACTCTTCCTCTTCTCCCCTCCATGACACTCCGGCTCCTCTTCACTCTCCTTCTCTTTCTTCTTCTCCGCCGGTGGCTCGAATCCCGAGGCTGAGATAAAAAGCAGACCGAGGAGCGGCAGGGGAAACATGTCGAGAGGAGACCAAGGGGAAAGTGGAGCTGTCTGCGGTGTGGTTTTGTTCTGCTGGTGGGTGGGGCAGAGAGGGGATTAGAAACTGCTGGGAACCTTTAAGAGCCTTTTTTGAGCAGCACACTCTACAGTCACATTTTACATTGTTGACGCTGATCTCTAACAACATTTTAGTCTTAAATGTGATCAAAGATCCATGCCTTGGTCACAAATAAACTTTAAAATCTTGATGCAGAATCTCAAACTTGATTTGAAACATAATCTTACCATCTGTTAGATAATATAAGCTGCAGCCATTGTTTCCATGTAGTTGTAGTTCCCACATGTCACCAACAGATGGAGGTAACAGTGTACCAATCCACAGAAGACTACGTTTATAATGAGAAACATGAGAAGCGTTGTATGAAGCAAAACACTTGGGACGAAGCTTGAAAGTGGATATTTGGTGTGACCGCCTTTGTTCTTAAAACAGCCTGAATGTTCTATTGTAATTTTTATAAGTAGTCTTGAGGAATAGTTCTCCAGACTTCCTGAAGGACATCCAAAGCTCTTCTTTGGATGCTGCCTGCCTTTCGTTCTGTTCTGTCAAAATGATCCCACACTGCTTCAGTAATGTTGAAGTCTGGACTCTGCACGGTGGATCATACATTTTTATGTTGGACGCTACTTTTCATCATTTCATCAAAATCTCCAACGGCACTGAAATGCAGCCCCAAATGTTTCAGTGTTGAATCTCTTCACTTTGTCAGGTGTTTGCATTTCATTGCTAAAAATCATTTACAAGACTTAAAAATTCTAACAAAAGGAAAGTAGTTTTTCTAACTTTCACATCCTTGACTGACAGAAGAACCTCGGAGACTCCAACAAGGGTGGAATTGACGATGTGGTCATGTGGCTGATAAGGAATACAAGATATGTTTGCTTCCATTTCCTTTATTTACATATAAAACACAGCACATTGTTACAAAGGTAAAAAATAATTCTGTACAAAAGCTTGTGACTGTTAGGAAACAATCAGGTCATGTAGACTATCTGCAGACATTTACACACGAGCTTCACCTGGTTACAGTACTAAAAGGAACATTCAAACGGAGGGAAATTAAACGACTGACTTTTAAGACGGTCAAGATGGAAAGAGTTAATTTTTTTTTCAAGTCAATAAACCCTTCAGAACCGTATGTATGGTCTCAATAGAAAAATAAATAAGTCATCTTTGGTTCCTTTACCAGCACTACCTTTCACCTTGAGACATCATTAGTCAACCAAATTGCGTTGGAGACACAACATTTTTGAGTTTTGGTGAATTTTGAGCCTGTTGCTAATTCTGTTAACTACCCATCTCCAGTTTTTCCTCTTTTTAAAAAAGACAAACAAAAAACTGAAAAAATAAAAAGCAAATCACTTTCTGTGCAGCAGAAAAAAGCTACCAGTTGGTGAAGTACAATTTTAAAAAGTTTTTTGAAAAGTTAAAATGTTTGCAGAAGACTGCGTTCACACTGTTGGTCTTCCAATATGGCGGCTCAGTGAGCTCTGGTAAGGCTTGAACGCTGACAGTAAGTGCAGCTCCAGGCGACTCTTAGCTCGCCATCCACAGGGTGAAGGGGATGAGGAAGGCTGGCAGGGCGGTGCTGACGGATATTCCCATATAAGCCATGGAAAGGAGCCCTAGCAGTGCTGTCAGCATGGCGTTTCGCTGGTCCCGGATCAGCAACTTCAGCCACTCGCAAAACTGGAGAGAGGACGAAAACGTGCACAAAATTAATTCTGATCATATTAATAGAGCAGCTGAAGAGCTTTAAATGTGACAAGACAAATATAAACTCAGGATTAATTTTATTTCTCAGTGAACAGAGAGGAAAAAACCCTAATCAAATCAACGTGACACAGTTTTTAAAACCAGGGCAACTCCCCAAAACACTCGGCAGGTTTCCAAGGTGTAAAGCAGGTAGGTTGGTTGGTCTATAGGCCTTTTTTTTTTTCAATTTACACCCAGTGATTCGCTCAATACACAGATAAAACTATTAGACACAGGATAAGTTCACTCTATTCCCTCCCCCCAAAGACTACCCAAAAAGCTCAAATCAAAGAGCTTTTTGTGGTTGATACAAATGAAGCAAAGCACCAGTCTTAAGACTTTCTCTAAGCCGACCTCTTGTAGCAGAATAACGACCATAATTGACCTGATGTTTATTTTTGTGAGGGGCCCTCAGAGGTCCTTTTAAGAGCTTCTGTTGGCCCCTAGCCCCCCTTGAAATGAACCTGCAGAGGCAGACTCTGAGGCTGCAGACAGGTCTGATGTTTAGGTTAGAGATTGCAGGAAGTGAAACTTGATCAGGGGAAAGTTTCTCTGCTGCAAGAGAGAAACCACAGTCTGTTCTTTATTCCTGCTGCGTTTAGCTTCAGTTTCATTATAAGATAGGATAATATTTTATATACAGCAAGAATTTTCATTTTGTATGTGTGTTCAGAAATGGATATATACATATATATTTTTAATGTACAAGAAAATAAACTTTTAAATGTATTTTTCCTTTGTTTTGTTTTTTAGCTGAGGAGCATCTACAGCTTTCTACCACTAGAGGGCTCTCTTCTGCACATTGTGCAAGACAGCGCCCCCTGTGACGTTAACTGGTTTGCCTTTTGTTTTTTTTATGTGTAGGTCAAGTGCATTAAGCCCCAGTTCCACAGGCCTACAGACTGCTTGCCAACCACTGGTCGCTAGGGAAACTGTAGCTGTGTCCCAAAACTGTGTATATACTTTAACGGGGTTGGTGGCGTGAAAGTGGTCGTAAAGATGTATTTGGTGGTGCACTAAAAACATCCTCGCGATTGACTTGGTCGCTAACTGATAGCTGCGGTCACCTGCAGTTTGTGTGAAAGATGCTGAGTTGTTATGACTCGCCAAGCAGTAGTGACACTGATAACGCAAACTGTAAATCAGGAAGCATTGACCTTCAAAGTAAGAGCTGCCTTCTTTCTTTTTTTTTTTTTACATGTGCGTGGGTTTTTGCAGTAAGCCACAACTTTTACTGTGCTCAGTTTTTTGAGACACACTTTTTTAAAGATTCACTAAAGCTTAGAGTGTAAAATCTATATTTAACGCAAACTATTGGTAACCATGGCAACATTCCTCTAATGACCAATGCAATCACAAGGAAGTTGTTGGTGCAGCGCCCTTCAACAACCTAGGGACCGTTTCATTGTGGGGTCTTTACCTTAGAATATACCCCTTTAGGAGACTATATAGATAAAATGAATGAAATGAAAATGAAATAAAATGAAATGAATAAAATGAATCAAACTGAATAGACTGGAGGTTCCCAGGCGGTCGCTGACCGGTCTCTATGTGTGACTGAGGCACTGCTTAAACACGAACAAAGAAAAACAACAGAAAAATACAATGTTTGCTGAGTTATCCTAGCTAGCAAGTAAACTGTTAGCTAAAAATAGCTTTGGTGCTCAAATAATAATAAATGATATTCATTCCTGAGTGTTAAATACTCAATATATTAATTACCTGTCAGTTTTTTTGTTTGTTTGTTTGTTTTTACTTTTTGGTGCTTTTATGTCAAATATAATGAACATTTCTTTTCTTTGATGTTCAGAGGAACTGGTGAAAATGGTGTAACATGCTAATAATCTGTTTTCTCATTAGCATTTTGTATTAGCACGGGGCATAAAGTAAAGCTGAGGCTGACTGGAGTGTCTCTAGTTTTTCAGATATTTGGACAAACCCAAAAGGACTGCACCCATCTGAACTCAAACAGCCTCAAACAGAGTTGCTTCTGTGATGCCTAACCACAATCTGAATTAACCACAGAGAGGTCAGCTTTCTGATGTGCAGGAGCCTCTGCTGCATCATCATCATTATCATCATCAGAGCGTACCAGCCCAGATTCTGCTGCTGCCTTTTGGTTTCTGGCAGGCGACTCTGGTCTGAATGCAGCTCTTGTTCTCAGGACTTTTCCAAGGAGTGACCCAGATTTTCCTTTTCTGCTCAGAAGCAGCTTCACATTCACTTGGAAACAAAGGCAGAGAGCTGTAAATGTTGTTTTTAATGTCTGAAAATGAAGACTTAAAGCTCTTGAATAAATCACTGCGGTGAACAGAGTTAGCTGCACAAAGAGACCCCCCCCCACACACACACACATTCATTTTGGATGTGTTTTTAGCCGTGATTATTGCTATTATGGCTTCTTTCCACTCCTCTCTTCTACTCTCTGTAGGACTTTTAAAGATCTGTGGACAGGAAATAAGTTGCAGCCAGACTAGAGCATGGCAGAACACAGTGAGCTGGTTCTACAGCAATAATAATAACTAACTACTGACTGTGTTTGTGAACCTAAGCTGCAAACGATGCTGTGATCCTGTTTGCTGTGATTCTTTTTATTTTTAGGCCACTTAAGTGATAAAAGCTACTATGTTAAAGTAACGTCATTGCATTCAATCAATAATAATAATGTCATGTAGGTGACTATTTACTTTTAGTGTGTTTCACTGTGAAAACTGTTGTAATATTACTTCATCAGTCTAAACAGATGTCAAACATGTGGTTCGTGGTCTAGAATCAGCCCGGCAAAGGGTCCGATCTGGCAAAGTGGATGGCTTTGAAAAGATGTAAAAATCAATTTTAAATCATGCTTTTTATTTGTTCTTGTTTCTAATGTCTCTGTAAAGCACTTTGAATCACCTTGTTGTTGAATTGTGCTATACAAATAAACTTGCCTTGCCTTGCCTAAAAACCGAAAAGGATGAGGGCATGAATCTTGTTCTATTTCCTCGTTAAAAATATGTAATGACACCAGAGTTTGAGCTGTGAATGTCACCTGAGGTCTGAGTCAGTGTCACGTTTTCTGCCAGCACCCACGGCCATCTGCACCAAACTAGGTAACAGATAAAGATATTATCATCATATCATATCATCATATTCAGATTTTTTGTGGCCCCCAATTTAAAAATCAAGCCTCAAGTTCACAAACCATCTACACATTCAAAATCGAATGACTGCTGTAAAAGAAAAGGAAAACAGGGCTTTGTTTTTTTTCTCTGTATCTATGAAGCGCCTTGAGGCGACTTATGTTGTGATTTGGCGCTATATAAATAAAATTGAATTGAATTGAATTGTTTACAGCCTTTTAAACACGCTTGGATGCACCTCAACTCCACATTCAAAACGTTGAGAATAAATAAAGATTTACAGCAGAACAAACTGTTTCTGCTTGCCGTGAATAAAGTGTATCACTGTGGAGCATCAGTGCAGCCCTGTCACTGTCGCTCTGATGTTGCGCCAAAAATTACACTTAAACTGTCATAAATGACTTGTTGGCCTATAATTTGTTAAAATGTGTCACACATCTGTCATAAATGATACGGAGTCACTCTGAGTGTCAGTGACACCAAAAATGTGTTTTTCAAGATCGATCTGGCAAAGAGGGCAATAAAGCTTGTGGCAAATATAACTTAAAGTTTTTACAGAACTTTAAAGTGCCAAAAAGGCCAGTTTTTTTTTTATAATGGAAATACAACGACACATAAACAGAGCAGGTTCTCCTTCATCGATCCTGTTCACTGCGATGTGTTTACCATCAGGAGAGATATTAGACATAAAACACCCAGCAAACACGCCGGGTCGGTCTTGGGCTCGGGCTCACCTTGTCGGTCTGCAGGCTCTGCGCGGTGCCGTAGCGACAGTAGGTGACGAAGTGCTCGCAGTTGTTCCATAGCAGGCTGTAGGCGACGGTGCCCACCAGCCGCTCCGCCCGCAGCGCCACCTCCTCCCCGGCCAGAGGGCTCTTGCGCACCGAGCGGTCCATGGCGTTCAGCAGGATCCCGGCACCGTACGCGAAGTCCTCCACAGAGTCCACGCGCACGCTGGCGCGCTTCGCGATGACCCCTACCAGCAGCCGTGTGTTGGTCACCATCTCCTCGATCTGGCGGATGTCGGCGGTCAGCGCCGGGAGGATGTCCGGGATGAGATGCGCCACCCGGTCGTCGCCCAGGTAGATGCCAAAGTGAGTGAAGAGAGTCCGGGGAACCTCCAGCAGGTCTCCCCGCTGGAACCGGTGAGAGGCTGAGGCGGGCAGCGGCGGTGAGTCTTCCCGGTCACAGCGCTTGCTGGTGGGCGGCGGTTCTGCGCACTCTACGCCCAGAGGAGGCAGCAGGCTGGAGAGCTTGATGTGCGCGAGGAGGAAGAGCTTCTCCAGGAGGAAGGTGAGCGTGTCCAGCATGGTGAAGCTGAAGTAAACCGGTCTGTGATCACTGATCTGCTTCTCTGTGGCCTCCTCTGCGCACAGCCACGAGTTTTCCTTCTCACTGTGGATGGGAGGGGGCGTGACGTCATGACCGCAAAGAGAGGCTGCAAGAGAAAAGCGGGTGTGGGACTGGGAGAGGGGGGCAGAGAGGGGGGAGCTCTCAGGGATCTGCAATAAGTTTGTGAGTCAGGTATGAGGCCACGGCAGAAAAACAAAAACAGAACAGAGCTCAAACCACAGAGCGTCGACCTCCACCGCGTTCACCACCTCCACACCAGCCAAAATGCAGAGGTCACAACTTCCTAGCACAGCAAAATGTGGCTCTCACATATTCATCACAACCACCTTCCTGGGAACTGTGCTGAGGTCGCAGCTTTTCCAAAGTCACCAAATGGCCTAACACACACACACACACACGGAGGCAGAGTGAGCTGGCAGTGTGTCTGCAGAGCTGTGTGTGTTTGTGTGTGTGTGTGAGCTGCAGGCTCAGCTCCTGTTTGTTAAACTCAGAAAACTGATTAGTAAATAAAGTCATTATTCTTGGTATCACTTTAAACTCCTTGTTTACTTCCGAGCTTCCACCAAAAATCCCTGTGGGGCCTTTAAACACATCATCACCTCTGGAGCTGGAAATGCCAAAAAAAGGACATAAACTGCAGTTCCTCTAACGACCACTGGAGGCTGGGACTCCCACAGACTCCTGCGTTAAAGTGTTGAACTCTAAATGAACATATTGACAGACTCCTGCAGAAACAGTTTTGATCTCTGTTGCTAACTTAACCCATCATAACAACTGTTAGGGGTGTGGCCTTTTGATTGACTGACAGGTGAATGGCGACTAGGTGGTTGTAGCAGCTAGTTCAACTTCACTAATTGGACTCACTGAACGGGACCTGTGGACTAGCCCTTTACCAGCTGAACTGGTAATTTAGCTCAACTCGGTTTTAGTCATTTTCCATAACAATTGAGGACCACCTAATGTGCGTGTGTCATTATAGCATCACAGCCAATAGTCCTGTGACGTCATTTATACCTGCTGTGGCTTTTCGTCAGACTTGATGGTCCATGGCATTGTTTGAGCCATAACTGACATATTTAGCATTTTTAAAATAACTAATTATGACCCAAATTCATTATACTTTAAAAAATCCTCCTGTGAGACACTGGCAACCCCCCCCCCAAAAAACAAACAAACAAACAAACAAACAAAAAAAACAACAAAAAAACAAAAAAGACTTGGCATGAGTTGAATTCCCACAATCCCCCCACTCTTTGCATGGCCATACAGCTACAACTCTGGACACCTACACCAATTAAACTTGCTGAGAGGCATCGTAAAAGTTATCACCCCCAGCTGCATTAAGCTAACATGCTGTATAGATAGGTGCCAGATTTCTAATTGGTGCAAAGAAAATATAAAATATAAAAAAATACAACCAATAAATATAAACGTCTGCAAACTGAAACATAATTAAAATAGAGGATTCATTAGATGAGCAGTGAGGAAACAATGACGGTCTACTAAACACTGTATAAAAGTTCTGGAACAATTTCAGGACTTTCTTTTGGCTCAACGTAGATTTTCTGGGAGTGATTACACACCTAAGCCTGATTAATCTCTATATAGTTCAGGCAGAGTCATATACTAACTTTTGTTTTTGCTCACAGCCACAGGAAGTCACTGGAGGGGAACAAAATAGTTACATGGCGCTCCAGAGCAGCAGCCTTTAAAGCTGGGTCACCTTTGGTTATTAGACGAAAGGACCTCAGTGAGTCAAACTACGGAGTTCATTTTGTGTCACTGATCCATGAATGGCTTCAAATCAAATGAGGTTTGCATTTCACAGTTGAGAAAATTAGCTTTTCTCTAGCAGCTGAGGTTTTTAAAGCATTTACAATCGAGGAGGAATTTGTCCAACTCATAAAGATGTGACAAAAGCATTAATAACTGTTTCTAAGAGATAACAATGGCTTTAATTTGGCGACGCCCTGCACAACACTGTAGATCTGCCTGTTAAAAGTGCAGAACCATTCCCTAAAAAGTGTCTGACAAAAGCTGTTTTACCTGCACTGTCCTCACACGAGTTTAAGGTTAAAGTCTACGCCATGTCCGATGTAACTGAATCGAACACTGTGGCTGCTTTGCATGTGTGAAAACAGATTTAATTACCAATGCTGAGAGCAGCAGTTGTAGTCAGGAGGACAGAAGCTGTTTTCATCCACCTCTCATTTCTGTTATTCATTCTTCTCCTGCCTTTCTTCCTTCAGAGAAGAAGGGGATTGGGAGGGGATTAAGGGTCGATTATAGAAACACACACACACGGACACACTGAGCCGCCATCCCCCTGCTGAGACAGCCTAACTGGTGCTGAAAGATTGAGGAGGGATGAGATTTGCCTGCTGAATGAGTGTTGATGTGATCCCTGCTGAGACGCTGCTAAAAGGTGAATGGAGTTGAGTGACAGGCTGCTCAGCGGGTGTGTGGGTGTACCTATGAATCTGTTCACGTGAGGACCAGGAACTATTTCAGACCTTGTGAGGACTTTGTGCATGAAGGCATTATGTCTGGGTTAAGTTGTTATTTTGTTCTCATTTTTTTAACTCGATGGATTTTTTAATCTTTAGTTTCACTTTGATCTTCTTCTTTCTGTGGTTATTTTGTGTCTGTTTGTGGTTGTTACGAGTTAGTTTGCATCTCTGATACTGGTCATTGTCCCCGCCTCTTTTTGGTCGTTGTGAGTGTGATAGTTGTTTAGCACTTCTTTGCAAATATTTGCATCTTTTTCTCTCTTTCAGAAAACTCTACGTGACCTTTCCAAACCATTGTTATTAACGACGTCCTCAGCCATGACAGTGAAGATGAGCTAAACAGTGATGACATATATGCTGTACAACATGTGTTGTACAACACATCAGAGACTAGCATGTGTACTGAATATTGGAATAAAAAGTTAACTGTTATTAAGTTGCCAATGTCAGATACATGCTAGCTAACTGCATATGTTAGCGGTAACATTATTAATTTGTGCAATTACATGAAATCAATGAATCACGTGTTGAACATGATATTATCACTGTACACGGGTTAGCTGCAGAAGTAATTTGACAGGCTAAGCTAGCATTTCTAATCAGACCTGATTGTGTCAGTAATAACATTTGTACAGGTGCTGGTAAATAGCTTTTTTGTGTTAGCAGGGTCACTAGTGTTAGCTAACCTTAGCAGAAGAAACATAGCTTACTGGGGATCTATGCTTCAGCAACAAATCTGAAGTTATATCATAACCGCAAACCCCTCTGAAACTTATGTAGGTTAAAGCTGTGCTATAACCTGCAGCGTACCTCCCTAGAAATATAACTTCACATCAGGTCTACGCATCCTGCAACTACTGTGATTGTTCAGTATTCCTCATGTGCATTGATCGTTACTTTTTCCCTACAGTTGAACCATAACAGTCCAAAAAGGACTCAGAAAAGTCAGCAAATTCAGCGATTGACGAAACTATGGATGTAAGAGGATGTACAAAGAATTGGAAAAACTTGAGAGACAAATGTGTTTATCCCCAAAGAAAACTGACCACAACAAAGACAGGGACCCAGAAGAGGAACAATCCCCATCTCTAACTTATGTAGCTTACCTAAATTACCCCTCAAGCTCCACAAGGATTCTCAGCAGAAGTCTAAAACAGGCCTTAGAAGTTTAAGTCTGTATTGTGCTTGAAGCTAGTTGTTTGGTAACGTTAGTGGACTAAATTTCTAAGCTAGCGTTAGTTAGTGTTGCTAACTGTCGACTGTCATAGACTTTGTTAATCTTATACTGGACAAATTTACACATTATGACAGCACAAGGGTTAGTAAGAAAAAGTCAATTAGAAGCTATAACAATTCTACAAGTAACTCTTACTATTTACGAATGATTGCTATATAGAGTAAATACACAAATAGAAACATCTTTGTATGTACATAAAGTGCATTGGGGTGGCAATATGTAGTCCTTTGTGTTTGCAGTTGTGTACAGTACAGTCTAGTTTGACTGCTGTCAGGATGAAGAATCTGTGATAGTGTGCGATGAACATCACATTGTTTGGATTTTCACGGAAAACTTCATGCTAAGCCCTTCACAGTTAAAAAAAAAAAAGAAAATGAGTTTAATACATGAAAAAGTTACATAAGTGTTTCTGTGTCTACTTACGTTTTATTTAATTCATTTAGCTAATTATGTTTTGTGTCTCTTCTTTGTTGCTTTCATCTTTTGTGTTTTTTGTCTCATTTTGAAGCAAGGCCTTGGTTTACATCAGTTTGCATTTGTTGCGTGTCTGTTTTCTGTGAAGTTAGTTTTCGTCTGTTTGTGGTTGATTATTTTGTTTTCAGTCATTTTATTGTTTCTACAGTTGCATGCATCTTCCTGTTTCTGTCAGCACGAGTAGTTCTGGATCATTTTCTTTATATTTGTTATTTTTCCAGAGCATTCTGTGTTACTTTGAAGCAGTCTGTTGGAGTGCATTTATCCTTTATTGCCTGATAGTGTTACAGCCAGCGCAGGGCCTGCTGTGAATTTTCCTGTCTGGATGTGTCCTGGCTGCTCTTCTGTCTTCTTAGCTGCTACTTTGAACATTTTGGAGGCCAGGTACAGGAGAGCTCCAGTATCAGAAACCCTTTACTTTGTAGCTTGTGAGCTATGCGTTTTGACTCTTGCTTCATGGAGAAGAAGGGATAATAAAAGTTTGATATTTTGATATATTTGTCCCTTTCCCCCCCCCAATCCAGCGCCCTTTTTGTTACTTCCACCACTTAACAACAGGCCTATGGAGTGATACGGATAAATAAGAAATAAATTCAAATATGAAAGATGGTAACTCGTAGAAATATAGATCAAAATCTGGTCCCCAGTTATAAATTCAAACCTCTCTGTCAAAAAGGATTCTTACCACAACAACATGCACACATACACACATGTGTTAATGCTCTCCAGCTGCTTTGAGGAGGAGATATGGGATAAACACAGCAGCTCATGTCAAACAAAACCTACATTAGCATCTTATTACAGGTGAAAGTACTCACACTGGGCGGAGATCCTAAAAACACAATCAGAAATGGCACCAGAACTTTTACAGCCTCCCCCATGTGTGTGAAAACAAATCATACTTTTTTATGAAATCCAATATTTGTAATTTTAAACACAAGAAACATACCTTGACTTTTCTGAACCAGAGTGAGTCCTATTAAGTCAACGGACATTGAATGAGTCCTTATAAGGAGTAATAGCCATTTTATTTTAGCTATCATTATTTTGTCATTAACGACTCAGATCAAGGTACTTCTGACATCCTCAAAACAATGTCAATTATTTCAGGGGAAACTATAAAAATAGGCTACAAGTATCTAGGTTATTATATACCCAGTGCACCAATAGAGACCACTGACAAAGACCAAAGGAAGAATTGGTTCTTGAAAAAGTGGGTTAACGTCAAATATGGACCCAACGTCAAATGTTTTTGAAGAAAACTGTTTTTTGAGGCTAATTTGAATGTAATTTAATGTGTCTGTAGGGATGGACTAGATTTTTGCATACTAATCTAATTATGGGGCAATCCTTTTGTGGAGTCGTACTCTGGGAGGTCACAGCTCCAAAATAAGACGTGAGAAAAGTGGGAAAGCAAAGTGAGAAAAGCCCAATAGACACAAAGAGGGAAGAAAAATGACCGATGGGGAGTAATTCATCTCCTTTTATCAATCTTGACAGCACAACAGAGCGACTTTTACCCTACTGAAACAATACCACTAGTTAGAGCACTGCAGGACATGCCATTAATTAAAAGAAGAGAAAGCTATCCAACTATAACGTCAGTACGCTTTATAAATGAAAGGTTATTCATCTAGTTTGAGTTTTAGACTAGCTCAGAATTGATAAATTAAGAAATTGTGGAGGCAAAGTATTATTAGCATTCGTATGTGAGAAGCCTTGCGATATAAAAACCATCAAAAAATGACAGTGCAGTCTAGTACCTTTTTAGTGTTAGCTTAAAAACTAAAGCTAAGCTAAAACTTATACAACTATAAAATAATCAAGCCTCA